GGGCAGCCCAGGTGTGGGCATCCCGGGTGTAGGTATCCCCAGGTGCGGGCGGCCCAGGTGTGGGCAGCCCAGGTGTGGGCGGTTTAGGTGTGGGCAGCCCAGGTGCGGAGAGCAGTCACTGCCCTTGGTGCTCGCGGAGGCCCAGCAGTGACGGCCGTGTCTGCCGCCCGCAGCCTACCCCGACAGCTCGTCCGCGTGCTTGTCCATGCTCCAGCCCCACGACAGCTGGTCCAGCCTGGGGGTGCCCGCCCACTCCGGCGTGCTCCCCGTGAGTGCCGGCACCGGCCCGCCCATGGGCTCCAGGTAACTCCCGCCCGGCGTCCCGCGCGTCCTGTCACTGGCCTGTGTCCCGCCGCCTCCCCCGGCGGTTGGGCTTCCGTCGTGACGGGGGGCCCAGTGTGCCGGGCACCCCAGAGTCATGACGCGGCGAGGTCCTGCACCCTGTTCGGAGGACCTGGGCTCTCAGGGCGCCCTCAGCAGAAGAGGGGCTGGTGGGAGCCGGGCCCCGCCCTGGCTCGCCGTGGCCCGGCCGTCCGAGGGCGCTGGGCGGCGGCCCCTCCTCCGAGCTGGCTGGGTGCTGGCTGAGTCCGCGCAGGCCCCGGGCTGGGGCGGCCGCTGTGTCTGAGCTGCAGCTCCGGCAGCAGAGGCCACACCGGGCACCGCGTGGGCGCGGGGCGGTGGCCAGCTGACCGCCTCCGACTCGGCGGGTCTGGGGGTTCTGCAGAACGCCGTCCGGCCCTCCGTGGCAGCATCCCCGCGTTCTGCCGGACGCTCAGCTTCGTGGTGGCCGCCGATCGGTTTGTGTCAGTGGAGCTGACAGCGAGTCTCTCCGGCCTGGCCTCGCTGTCCACTGTGGAGATGGCCTTTGGCGCGCAGGACCCTGGCCTCTGGCCCGCGCGGGGCTGGGCGTCGGTGGAGCCTGACGTGTCTCTCTCCCTCCCGTCCAGCCAGTACCCCAGCCTGTGGTCTGTGAGCAACGGCGCCATCGCCCCGGGGGCCCAGACGCCAGGGATGCCCAACGGGCTGGGCGCCCCGTTCTTCCGAGGCTCCTCGGGCCACACTGTGCCCCTCGCCCACCCAGCCCCGGCGGCCTCCTCCGCGTCGCCCTTGTACGAAGCAGCGGCCCCGGCCGCAGACATCACCGACGGCCAGTACGACCCCGCGGCCCAGGCCCGCCTCATCGCGCCCTGGACGCCCGTGTCCCCCTCCTCCATGTGAGTCCAGGGTCTCAAAGGCCAGCGACTCCGGCTCCCGGCCTGGGCTGAGGGGATTGACCTGTTAAGTACCAAGTAGCAGCCTCGGGGTCCAAGGAGCGAGACTGGGCCTAGCGGCCTGGCCTCACTGAGAGGAGCCTGACCTCCGGTGCCCCCGCTCGTCTCTGCCCGGCCGGGGCTGCCCGTGGAGGCAGCTGGGGGGGCCCTGCCTCAGGCCTCGGTCGTGGTAACTCCCGGCCAGAGCCCGGCTGGGCCAGAAGCTTTCGTTTGCCCTCGTAGAGCTCACGGGCTGGTGGCGCCTCCGAACGCGTAGCCCCCACCTTTAGCGAGAGGAAGCACCCTGGTCCTCTCCCCTGTTGCTCTGAGCAGTGTGGCCCGCAGCAGGGGCCTCGTGTAGAGCGGGCGGTTGAGGACGGGGGGCCGGGTGTGGACAGGGGGCTCCAGTGGGGAGGGCCCGCGCGCCCGCGAGGGTGTGTCGGTGTGGAGACCGGTCACCAGCAGCCTCCGACCCTGTAACCTGTAACTTGATTTTTCCTCTTGACGAAGTAGCCAAAGACAATCAGCAGGAAGCGCTTTCTGCAGAATAAAGGCAACGTGCAGACTGGTGGCTCCTGGCATCATTCAGCCCTTCCCACCTCTGGGGCGACATTTCGCGGTTACTTGTAGCAGGTGGGAAGGCTTTGCCCCAGGGGGACACCCCCAGCTGTTACGGCACGAGTCTGCTACCTACCTAGTCGGGCGCAGAACTGCAATCGAAGCTTGTATTTGTGGGCCACAAGACACAAAAGATGTTAAAGGATTTCCAAGAGGGCAGGCAGCCAGTGCCGCGTGACAGAACGTGTCACCCGGCCGTGTGGCCACTTTGGGGCGCGGCCTGAGTCCCTCGGAGGGGCAGAGACCAGCCAACCCCAGCGGCGGCTGCCTGGGCCCCGGATGACATGGTGTCCTGGCGCCTTGAAGGCAGTTTTTCTGCTTCCTGGTGGAAACTGAACTTGATCCTTCGTGTTCTGCTTTCCAGAACGGCCAGAACTTTCCAGAACTGCCGGGTGGCCAGTGTCTTGGGCCTTGCTAGGCAGGGGCACTGCGTGAATGGGGAGGCTGGTGTGGACAGTAGGGGCCAGCAAGGAAAGGCCGACAGCAAGGAAAGACCTGCTCTGGTCCAGTCAGCACTGTTGACCGAGCAGGTGCTCCTCATTGCCGTTGGCCACTTGGCCCGAGCTCTGACTCCTTGCTGGGGGCCGGCCGAGAATGTATGAGGATAAGGCCGACACGCTGGTTCAGGCCTGACGCAATGGTTCACATTTCTGTAACAATAATATTGATGAAATGTTTCTTCTGTTCTGTTATCAAAGAAACATGAAGCCACATGAAGTGCGGGACGGGCAGTTTGTGACACGGGCAGGTTGGGCCCTCCAGGGCAGGCATTCCGGGGCCAATAAGCTGGCCGTGTGCTAGTGGTGGGCCAGGAAGGACATGTTCCCTCGCCGAGTCTTTCTGAAAGATAACTGGTGTTGTGTGGAGACCAGCATCATGTGGACCCTTTATCTGGGTTCAAGTAGAATTGGGTCACTTAGTGGCAGGGACACATCCTGTCTGCAGCCTAGGGGAGAGCTGGGATCTGTTGCACGGGCAGCTTAGCCATCACCCAAAGAGATTGTCATGGTGGCCATCACAGCGAAGCTGGACAGCTTAGCCCTAGGATTGAGCCTCAGAAGAAGCTTTACCAGGGCTACGGGGCTGCAGTCAGGGAGGAGACCCCAGGCCCCTGGCTAAGCGCCCAGAGCTGGACAGGAGCAGCTTATATAGACGAGGGGGCGGGGCTGGGCTGCTGTATGCAAATAAGCCGTAGAGTCGCGCCCTGATTGGTGGAAAGCTTGTCAAGCAGTGATTGGTCAGATTCCAGTCCTGGGCGTGGTTTGCAGGTTTCACTTCGGGGCGAAGATGCTCTTGGCATCTGCACCTTGCCGGGGCTCATGGGCACGTGGCACACAGCTGGACACGTCCGGGTGTCCTGCCCGCCTGCACACAGCTGGGCATGGCCAGGTGCCCTGCCCATTACACAGCTGGACGTGGCTGGGACCTGACGGTCCACAGTCTTCTGGTCTGGCTGGTGCTATCCTGACGGGATGGCTCTGTGCCTGCTTTTTCCATTCTGTTTACCAGCCATTGGCACGTGACTGGAAACTGCGGACCAGCTTAGAGGTGGGGGGAGGGCACCCCAGTGCGAGCTTGCTCTCCATGGAGCGCGGAGCTAATGCTGCTCGGGCCGGGTGAGGCGAGCTGAGGGCTGTCCAGACGGGCTCCCACGCCTCTCCGCCGTGCGCAGCCTGTGCCTGGGGTGCGCTGCAGGGATCTGCCCCCAACGGACCTGGGGGCTTCGTGGCTCTGCAGGTGCCGCCATGCCGGGGTGTGATGAGTGCGGGGGCGGGGCGGGGCCCAAGGACCAAGAGGAGCCGGGACGCGGCTGTGCCCCAACGTGAGAATTTTGAACCCCAGTGTTTTCTCATAAACGGGGTGGATCTTTCATAGCACCTGAGCAGCGAAGGCTGGGACAACACCGGCTGTCACTGACCAAGTCACGAAGCCGCGTGGCCCTGCGGGCCTGTGCAGACCCAGTGGGGCAGTGACGGGGCAGGGGCCACCCTCCTGGGAGGCCTGGCGCTGCCTCAGGAAGGTCATTGGCTGGGGGCTCAGGCCCACCTGGGGGATCGGGTGCCCCCCCCACAGCGCCCCGGCACTTTCCTCCTGCACTCAGTCACTGACCTGCCCCGGGAAGGGCCCCTGGGGCCTGGCCAGGCTTAGGGGCACCTGATGGGAGTGGACACCTTGCTGGGAGGACGTAGCGGACGCTTCTTAGTCTTGGTCTGCGTAGGTTGGGGCTTCGAGGGCCCCGTGGAATGGGCAGCATGCCCATCGGCCGCGGACTGTCTCCTTTTCCCTGCCCTTCCTTAGAAGGAGCAAGGGGTTCGGCCCCCAGGGATGAGGGAACCAGAACCC